ATTCATCTAAAATACATATCTCTATATATGTGTTTTATATATGAAAAGCGTATGTAAGAAAACTATATACAGAAAGCCAATATATCAAATTATGCATTAATATATATGCATGTTTTATATGCATTTAAAAATTATAATTTTTAAAAATATAAATATATTGTATATCTTTATATTAATTAAAATAATATAATGTATAAAAATTATATTTTTAAAATATAAATATACAATATATCTTTATATTCGTTAAAATAATATAATGTATAGACATATATATAGTTAAGAATTTTAATATAAATGTATTATAGTAAGAGAATATATTTAATACATAGCATAAAGTATATAATGATTGTAATAATTAATATTGTTATAATGGTAATGAGACAGTACAATAACCACAATAACAATAATTGCAATAATAACGATAACAATGACTAAAAAAGCCACCACATCTCAACTCAAATCCTGCCTTTAATCTCACATTTTTTTCCAGGTTTGAATTCCCAAAAAATTCCAGATGACATTGTAGGAAAACAAGAAAGAAAGGGGAGGAATGGGAACCAAAACCCCACAGCAGCACAGGGAAGAAAAGGAGGTTTTTCCAGAGGAAAACCAGAATTCCAAGGGCAAAGGGAAACAAAAGAGGGAGGAGGAAAATGAAATTTTGAGTTCCCACCTTGACCCACTGCTCTGGCTTGGTGTCCTTCAGCACCACGGTGAGCTCGGGCTTGTCCATCAAAATCTGCATTTTGGCACAGGTGGGGTCCTCGCTCGTGCAAATGCTGATGGGCACCATCCACGTGGGGAAATCCTCCCCTGCAACGGAGGAAACGGGGGGAAAATGGGGGCAAAACACTGAGAAACAGCGCAAAACCAGCCCGGCTCAGCACTGAAAATGAAATCGGAAATAAAAGGCCAAAATCTGAAATGTCCGTTTTGAGAGGTAAAAATCTGAGGGAAAATGACAGTTTTAATCTGGAGTAAAATGTCAGTTTTAGAGTTGAAAATATGAGGGAAATCACAGTTTTAAGAGCTAAAATCCCCAAAATCTTTAAATCAGCTTTCAAGCCAAACATTTTAATTTAGGTAAGCACGGAAGGGGAGTGGAATCAGTGCTGGAATCAGTGGTTGTGCCCACCTGAGGTGTTTCAATTTCATTTATTTCAGCAGCACCACAAGCCAGCTGCTCCCCAGCCCCTCCGAGGGCCCCGGCCCTAAAATTGACATTTCTGGAAGAATTTTGAGACGAGGAATGCTGCTCTCCATGCCAGCACGTGGAAACCACAAGTGGGAAAGGCCCAAACTTGGATTTCTCACATTTCCCCACCTGGATCCAGGCAGAGCACAGGCCTGGGGCTGTTTCAGCTCCCAAAATTGCTGCTTTTGGATGAAAAACAACAAAAACCCAACAATACCCCTTCAAAATTGGGATATTTTGTGGTTTTGTGCCCACCCAATCCTGCTCCCAGCTCTCCTCTTACCAGTATATGGTCCACTGGCACAGAATTTCTTCTGGACCAACTTCAACACTTTGTCATCTTCTTGCTGAGGGAAAAAAATTAAAAAAAAAAAGAAAAAAAATTGCGAGAAAATGAGAAAAGGGGATGATTAGTTTAATTTCAGTCGCTGTGGGTCACTGCCCTCTGTTTCATGGAATAATTTGGTTTACCACCCCTAATGAAAGGAAGTCCTCTAAGTCAGGGAATATGGTTAAATCTGATCCAAAATTTAGGCACAATTCCATTTTCACCACTCCTGATCCACAGGAATGCCCAAAATTTGTGGATATTGTTAAATCTGATCCGAAATTAAGGCACAATTCCAATTTTACCACTCCTGATCCAAAGGAATGCTCAAAACCAGGGAATATTGTTAAATTTGATCTGAAATGAAGGCACAATTCCATCTTTACCACCCCTAATCGAAGGGAATGCCCAAAATCAGGGAATATTGTTAAATATGACCCAAAATTATGGCACAATTCCATCTTTACCACCCGTTATCCAAGGGAATCCTCCAAACCAGGGAATATTGTTAAATTTGATCTGAAATGAAGGCACAATTCCCTTTTCACCTGTTCAGCCTCCACGTAAATGAGTGGAAATCCCATTTGCTTGGTCCACGTGTTCATCACAGCAGCAATGGGTTTGCCACTGGCTTTTTCCAGGCTTTCCCAGAGATCCTCTGCAGAAGAAAGAGATTTGAATCAGGTTTTATTAGTGATAACACAGGGAAAGTTGGGTTCTTACTTCACCTTTTACGCTTCTGGGTTTTGTTGAAATTTAACAGATAACAGGCAAAACTAAAGTGGAAATAGTTTAAACCTCCTCAGGAAGGAGAGAGGGGAAAAGCAGCTTCTTTACTGCTAAAAAGCCCCAATCAATACACGTGGTGATACAAAAATTAACATTAAATATTAAGAGAGAACAACATTTCCCTTTAGGTTTTTTATGTATTATGTCAAAAACTGCTGAGCAAACACCGTGGATTGGATTTGGCTGATGGAGCTTTGATGTCCTCACTTCCACGTTTGTGCCTGATCCACAAAAATAGAGGGTTTAAAAGCAAAAATACCAGATTTTGACCTGTTTAATCACAGGATCAATACTGCAGAAGGCTCTCTTGGCAAACCAAAGAATATTTGTGGGATATTTTTCAGTGGTAACTGAAAATATCTCAAAAATGTTGGAGATGACCTCAGCCACACACTCCAGGGACAGAAAATCCCCAGGCCTGCTGAATCCTTCCCATGCAGGGCATGAGACTGGGGACAAGCCAGGAACGCCCAGGAATTTCAATTATTTCAGGTGCAAACCAGCAGTTTTGAGCCTCACAATAACTCGTGTGCCCGGTTACCTGTGGCAGCGTTCCTCTGCTGGAACTTGGTCAGGTACAGGTTCATTCCTTTCCGGAAATCCTGGCAACACACAAGGGGGATGTCACAGGATCTCCCATCCTGCTCCTGCTCTGCTTTTACCCCCAGGAAATCAGGCAAGGAATCCTTCAAACCTCTAATTCCTTCTGTATTTCCCATTATTGTTTTTCCCAGATAAGCTCAAACAGAGCTTGAAGGGGAGAAATTTTAAAAACACAGAACAACTTCATTTTTTTTTTAAACCCCAGTAATTTTAGCTGTAAAAAATGCCCTGAAAATCTCAAATTCTCATCCCTTTACCTCATCCCCAATGTAGTCGTGCAGCATCCGGATCACAGAGGCTCCCTTGCTGTAGGAGATGGCATCAAAGATTTCATCCACCTCGGAGGGATGGCCCACGCTGACCTGTGGGAAGCACCACAACCCCCAGTGACAACGGTCTGGGCTGACAAGAAATTGCATTTTGCTCGTGGCAAAGTTTTAGAGGTGGAAGTCTGAGGGAAAATGTCAGTTTTAGAGGTGAAAATGTGAGGGAAAATTGTTTTAGAGGTGAAAATCTGAGGGAAAAATCACTTTTAGAGGTGAAAATCTGAGGGAAAAATCACTTTTAGAGGTAAAAATCTGAGGGATTCTTTCTCTCCTCTCCCACTGCTGGATGGTTTGAGGGGAATCTGAAAATCCTCACATATGTCTGGGTCAGGGCTGGTTTGGATGTTAAACACGGTTTAAGTTATGTTTTGGTGCTGGATCAGATAAATTTGGGGATCTCCCTTCAATCCTTGGTTTCCCAAAAGCAGCAAATCTTTTGTTAAACTAAGATTAAGATTATTAAATCCAGGAATAGCGGGCAAGGCGCGCTCAGGGAGTGAATCACTCTAAAACGCCCTCCTGGACAAGGTTAATTCCCAAAATTTATTTAAAATAATCTGTAAAACATTAGAATCCACAGGAATTAGATCTCTAGGAATTAGATCTTTAGGATTCCTAGGAATTCCAAGGAGCTTTTGGGGCACGGGGAGAGCAGAACCCACAGAGCGCAGCCCCAGCTCCGGATCCCGCCTGGCCCAGCCACCACCACAAAATTCCCTTTTTAACCACAGGGAAAAGGGGGAAAAGGCTGGAAAAGGAGGGCCGACCTCGATGGGGTGGCTGTTGTCTAAGGCATCGAGCTCCTGCGCCCGCGTGTAGTCGGCAGACACGAACTGGGTCCAGATGTCGTACTCGGGGAAGCAGTGATCCACGCACAGGTACTCGATCCACGAGGCAAAGCCCTCGTTCAGCCACAGGTGGGTCCACCACTCCTGCAGGGCACAGGAACCGGGCATGAGGGGCAGAAC